TTCAATATTAATTTCTTTACGTTGAAAGTCAGTGTGGATCACAAATTTGAAATGTGTACCAAATTTTAATTAGACAGACGCATGAGTATAAGGTTCCATTTTTTACGTAATATACTCATAGATTGTACGTAAATAAGTACAAAAAAGTTAGTCCTGACAAGAATGGTGTTTATACCATTTTGCATATGGCATGAAGTTTGTGACATTTCATTTAATGCAATTTAATTTTTAGTATGGAATAAATATGAAATATATGTAATAAACGTTTTTATTATATTCCCTAATGATTTATTTTTATATTCATGCATGAAATATAACAGAAACTTTCGCTACTAATCAGTTTCACCCCAAGTAAGAAATAATAATGATAAATAATTTAGATATTTTTCTTGTCAACGATGGCTGGAATCTTATTCCAAACTACTTTCTTCACAATTTATCGACATCCCTACTTATCGTTAATAATAAATGAATAAAGAAAAACTAATAACCCTGTTTTATTTGTGTGCCTAAAAACGATTCTGTTTTCTTTCCTTATGTGCGTTCTTTAATTATATCGTTTTGAATACTTAATCTTTATTGTTTATTTTCTAGCCACTTACCAACTTACTTAGTAGTATAGTAGTAGCATCGTAGTAGTATAGAGGGCCAGGACTTACTGGCAACCCCTCTGCTTGAGTTAAAACTTACATTCCCCGAACAATCCTTACAAACAGGCTTGTAAGTAGAAGGTAGGAAAAGGGCATACCCTTTTCCTACCCCTTTTCCTTCTTCTTGCCTTCCTTTCCCATGCTCTCAAGTTTTCTATCTGATTCGTCGAGTGCCCGGTTGAAAGCAATATTCTTGCCCTTTGCTACGCAAGTGACATTAAAGTTATAGTCACCCTTTCGGTGATTTACGAGTAAAATATAATGTAATCAAACTCAAACTCTCTTTATTTCATAAAATTTTCAAAATTGTTTGAAATCGTCTATGTAGACTCTAAAGTCATAGATCAACACACACAAAAGCAATAATCTCTGTTTTGTCAAATAGTAAGCAAATAAATTTACCAAAAATCAAACTCATACAAAATCTATGATATGCCTGTGCCGATCTACAACCGCCTGTTTCCAAGGGGTTGAGCCTTATGAGAAGAAAGGGCAAATAAACTCATAATCATTAATATAACACTTCTCAAATTCTATCATTAAATACCACTTTGATTTATTATGAATAAATTAATATTTACAACACACCTACTAAGTTTGTCCAATAATTTTTACAGGTTAAAGGTTTGTAAAAATAAGCTTTTCGCAAACACAGTACTGCTCAGAACAGGTTAGGCTTAAGAGAGATATAATAATTAGGTAATAGAGGTTTTACTAGCACAAAATCAGCTGATATATAACCACAATCCTGCAAAAAGTAAGAAAAATCTGTTGGATGTTTCATATTCAAGTATTAAACTTATATGTCGCGTCTATCTAAAAATTGAAGCGTATGACACTTTCGGAACGGGAGCTGAGAGAATTTCATATAATGTGATATTCTCTAGGTATACATTGTTCGTGCGATAACAAGAAATTATGGTTTGTTATTTACATACGTCGTGTACTTACTGTAAAACCCTTCGTGTATATCAAACATAATATATTTTTTGACGAACAAGGAACAATATGATTACAATGGCACCTAACTTAATAAAAAGTTATCTTACAGTGCATAGCACCTAGTTTCGCCGAGGTGAACGAGGAGAAAGTTCCTCGTTTATTTTAGTATAGGACGAGTTTAGCTTGAGCTATTTAAATGATCAGATTTTATAAGTAAGTCCAGCCGATTGACCTGATGTCACCAACGACAGAAGATACATAAGTGCGTTACCGTCTCTCCCAGAGGGTCCACCCTTCGCCCCAGAAAATCGTCTTTAAATACTTCTTTCGCTGTTTTTCATCAAGTGAATGAAACTATTAATAATAACCTCAACATTTCACATGCGACCGTCTGATCTCAAACTAGACAGAGCCTCTACTATGGTTACCATACTGCTGACAAACATTCTTATATATTTCTAAATAGATACATGTTGTAGATAAACACCCAGCTACAAAAAAAAAATGATCGTATTCATCGCACAATTATTTGTCCTGGGTGGGAATCGAACCCACGACTTCTGGCTTAAAAGTCAGGATTACTAACCACTAGACCAACGGGCTCGTCAGTTCTGTCAGTCACCATAAGTACATAAAGAAAATACCAGATTCAAACCACCTCTCCCCTTTCTGGAGCGATGGGGTTCAAAGGGCGTCAAAACACTAGTGTCTTTTGAGTTGTAGGTGTCCGTGGGCGTGGGGATTCACTTACCTTACTTACTTGATTGCACGGATGGCGTAGTGGTTTAAGCGGTCTCCACGCCATTTCCTACTGCGCTGAGTGTTATGGGTTCGATCCCCACATGGGACACCACTTTGTGTGATCTACAAATTGTAGTTTTGAGTCTGGGTGTTCTTTGTGTCCGTTTCGTGTATGTTTGTATAGTCCCTCGCGACATTGGATATATATTGCTCATGTGGGTGTCGTCTTTTCAAAAAAAAATTGGTGACCGATGTGCTCGTTATTAAAACATTATAAATTTATTTAATTTTATTTTTTTAGGAATCATATAGAAATAATTTAAAGAAATAAGTTTTTGACATGTTCCTGTCGAGATAGTGTTCAATATTATTAATATGATCTACTAGTACACATTGTGGTTGCGTTGTTGAGAAATTAGTAAAAAACCTACGCGAAAAATAGATAAAACCAAAAAAATAAAACAAAATTGGAAAAAAAAAATTGGAATTCAAAATTTGAGATCAATCAGTTCAGGACTTTTTGAGTTCTCGAAGCGTACATGAACTAACTTAACATATTTATATATTTGTAGATTAAAAGACAATTAGATTAACTGATATAAGTCTACATAGGTACATAAAAAAAATTGTTTGCAAAGCATATCCATTTTGACGCTCATAACGCTTTTGGCTCTGTACCAATATGATCTACATGTGAGATTGTATGGGGAACTCCATAAATTACGGCAAGCTTTAAGGTGTGGGGGACGGTGTCACATTGACATTGTGTGACATTGGGTGGGGAGGTCGCGAGCTTCGTAACGTCATGTGTCAAAATGTAAACTATTAAATACACACCACATACATACATTAAATCACACATTAAACGAAAAACTTACACACACTACTTTTATCAGTTTTTTTTAAAGGGCTTAGTAAATGGATTACAAAAATAATAATAACGTCATGCACAGTCTGCAGGCAGTTTGATTCCATACTAGGCAGAGCCTGTGCTGTGATCCTAGTAAACACACTACTGATAAACATGCTTTAATAGTCCTAAATACACACATATTACAGATAAATAACACTCACACACAGAGTAAATGATCGTGCTTATCACACAATTGTTTGTCCTGAGTGGGAATAAAACCCACGATCTCTGGCTTAGCAGTTAGGGTAACTAAACACCAAACCAACGTCGTAAATTCAAAAGCTACCAAATACTTTTAAATAACTAAACCTGTCTATTTTTACCTTATTATTTATCTCATCCCACAAAAGCCTTTTCCATGAATGATCTTACAAATTTATTTTCTTTTTGCAAATGAGCTCGTCCCTGAGGTTCCGACCGAGTTAAAGCTAATGTAATCACATTAGAAAAGGTCTGATTTACATCAGAACCCTGCGTGGGCAGCTTATTTGTCGCAAGTGTTCTGAAAACGAGCTCTAGTTACAGTAAATGCAGAGGTACCTCTTTTTACCGATGCGCAGTGATATAAAACAATTTATATCTTTGGGATTCAATATTCAGGACAATAGTGTTAGTGTTCTTCAAAAGGTTTTCCGTTGCCTCATCTTCTGTAACGACAGCTCATTTTCAGAATACTTGCGACAAGTAATCAGGGTTTTGATGGAAATAGATTCAAAATGGCACAAATGATTTTGACTGAAAAGATTGATGTAATATAAATCTTCTAAAATCATGCAAGATGGCTACTACGACAGTATGTTAGACATTATCAAACAGTTTTTACATGAAGGAAAGTACTTGTTTTAAACCGTAGAGATTGTTGAGAAGCATATACTGTGAAACAATACCAAGAGCTTAAAATATCTTTTTGTCACTAGCAAATCTGCTACCTGTCCGTGTGGTGACGGATTAAGAATACGGAATGTCACCACCCCTATTCATCCCGTGGGTGTCGTAAGAGCCGACTAAGGGAACAAACTACGCAGGACAACAGCACTGCAAAGCGAAGGAAAACTTGAAACTAACCCCATACCAATCCGTCTGGCCAGCGTGATATAGTAGGCCAAACCCTCCTTTCTAAGGAGGGGCCTATGTCCAGCAGTTTACTGTTATAGGTTGTTGATGAATTCCTATTCTCAATGATAAGTAATTATAATCTGTAAATACTTAAAAACATAAATGCTTCCCGTTTCCCCACATAGACACAAAATGCTGTGTCTTTTGTGTATGTAACGTTCCTGTGACGGCAGCCATACAATTTCCACGGCCATATCCCGTCATATACCAAAAACACTTTAAAACAATAAGAACACACACTTTGTAAAAGTATTCCGACGAACTACAATTTTAATTTTAGAGATATAATAAGAATAATGAATGCAATAATTATGCCTTTCTTTTTTTTTTTTTTTTTCCGTGCGGAAATCCCCTCGGATACCACCTGTCGGTGGCATGTCGGACTCGAACCGACTAAAACCGCACGCCGTCGCCGGGTACTAATAGCCGGGGAACCAGGTATACCCTAGAAAGGAAGTCCCTGGTGCCCCGACATACCTCGGGTTATCTACAGACAAGTAGACGACCCCCCCCGTGTGGGAACCCCATGTTCCCTGTGCTCCCTGGAAGCGAGCGCGCTTCGCAACGCGCTCGCCGCCACCCCGGCCTGCTTCTGCTAGGGTGACAGATGGCCTCACCTGTCACCCCCAGGCCTGGGCTTATGGAGGACGGAGGTCTTTCTGCGACCTCCGGCGCCTGAGTCGCCTGCGGTACCTGGCCCGTGCCCGGGCCTGGCGGGCCGGGAGAGTTCTAAACCTCTCCCGGTCCCGCTCCGCCGTCTCCTTCGCGAGCATAACTTGCTCGTAGAAGGAGACGGCAGAGTTCCACGCACTCTCGCTCCGCACGATAGCCGCAATCAGGTTATCGAGCGAGAGAATTCCCACTCCGATGGCCGCCACGAGGTCTCTCCTCTGCTCAACCCACGCCGGGCACTCTGCCAGCGTGTGGAGAGCCGTGTCCACGGTCTGGCCATCGCAGTGGTGGCACTCAGGCGTTGGCTCCTTGCGGATCAGACACAGGTGATCTCCGAAACATCCGCGCAGCGAACTTTGCGGCTGTCCAGCGGCACTCCCCGTCTGGATCAGCGGCCCGGAGGCGGAAGGTCGGCCTCCCGGCTTCGGTCGTGATAGGGCACAGGCCTTACTACCAACCCGGTGGTCGGCAGGCTTGCCCCCCGCTGCGCACCTAAAGCAACGCAGCGGAGCGTTGCAGCCACCCGCCTTGTGACCGGGCTGGCCACAGCGGAAGCATCGGTCACCTACAGTGGCCTCCGCCGTGCAGTGCACCCCTACGTGCCCCACCGACAGGCACCTGAAGCACCTTGCCGGCCGGGCCTGCAGGAGTCGTGCCTGCGCCCTCAGGAAACCACCGAACAGGAGGCTCCGTCCATCGGCAACCTTCTGGGCCGCCGCGATGGGGCAGCTGACAACCGCTGCCCCCTGTCCACCGGGACCGAAGCGTATTGCTCCGGCCTTCACGCTGTCCAGAGGGCAGCTTCCCGTCTCTGCCACGGCGAGTCTGAGCTCGTCCGCCGTGACAGAGTCCAGTGACTCCCTCAGCTTAGCCGCTAGAGCGACAGCTTTGGGGCCACTGGTAGCGCCGGCGACCTCGAGGAGCCGGGCTCCCGTCCGTGTGTTTTTACACCGGACGCCCGGAATCTCGAGGGCTTTGAGGTCCACGTTGGCCTTGACTTTCGTCAAGACCTCGGCGTACCCCACGCCCCTCTCCGCTGCCTCCGCCGTCAAAGTGATAACGACGGCCGAGGAGCGAGGGGCGCGGAGCTTCCTCGGCGCTCCCTTCGCAGCGGCGGCGGCGTCCCTCCTCGCCTTCTTGGCCGCTTTTTTGGTGGCCTTCCGCCTCTTCTTACTCTCCCCGGCTACCGTCCAGCCCCGCTCCAACGGGCGCTGTGCGGTGTCAGCCAGGGCCGAGACTGGGGCTTGGAGGGGGGCCACCTTCCCCCTCCCTTTGCCCTTTCCGGCCTTCTGGGGCGGGGGTGCTGATGACGGCCCAGCCACCCTAGTTGCTGGCTGGGTTGTTAGGCCCCACCTTGGCAGCGGCCGCATATGTCGCCTTTAGCGGAGCCAGAGGTGGGCGACAACGGGCGCTCTCTATTGCAGAGATGCGCCTCATTATACGCTCCTCCATCTCCGCCACGAGTCGGACTAAGTCCGGCTCCGGGGCGGACAGTGCCAACGGTGCCGAAGGCGCTGGTGTGGCACCAGCGTGGGCACGAGCCTTGGCGAGATCTGCCTCGAGGCGGGCTCTCTCCCTAGCGTGGGCCTTGCTCTCGGCCACAAGGAGTCTGCCCGCCTCGATTATGGAGCGCACGACCGCTACCAGAGCCTCCTGTTGGGGGCCCCCGGCCACCCCGGACGTCTGAAGCAAGCAATCGGCCGCGCCGATTGCCTCCTCGATCCGGTCGACGGGGTTGCCGGTTTTGCCTCGCAGCTCATCGAGGCCAGCACCCCCACCCCCACCCCCCACATCAGTGGTCGACATCTCGGACGCGACCCTCTCCTGTCTTCTCCGTCCCAGACCCTCCTCTTCGGCTCCTCCCAGCGCCGCGGACTGGACCGCCACCTTCGTTTGGGCCACCCTGATTTTGGGGAGTCGGCCTCCGCCGCGAGCGCCTCTGCGGCTTGTGCCGACTTTGGGAGCCGTGGCTTCGTCGCTCGAGGCCGTCTCCAATTGCCTCTTCAGGCCCAGGCGAAGCGAGCGCCTTTTGCGCTTTGGAGTACCCTTCTGGTGCTGCTCCGCAGCTGAGACCATAGGGGTACTCGCTCCGCTCCTCTCCGAGGCAGTGTCGGTGTTCGACACTACCTCCAGGTTTTTCGCGTCCTCCGCGATAACGTCGCCGGATTTACTGCTCGGCGACGGGCAGGTTCGACATTTGGTGCTCCCCCCAGAATACGACTGGGAGCTGCCGGAGCCGTTTGGCTCCGGGAGGGATTCCCCAGACACTGTGTCCGGAACCCTCCTGGGTAGATTTCTCTATTTTCCTCATGTCATGTTAATAGTTTTACGTCCTTCGACGGGGACGCCTTCGGCACTGGACTCCCTCCAGCGACTCAGCCCCTTGCCAGGCGTCAGAACGTGGGCTTAGAGCATTTTTTATAGAGGTTTACGTCCTCGCGGATCCGAAGATCCACCGGTCCTGTCCGCCCGCCCCAGGGTTTTTTATAGAGGTTGCCTTCCTCGTGTGGTGACGGATTAAGAATACAAATTGTCACCACCCCAATTCATCCCGTGGGTGTCGTAAGAGCCGACTAAGGGAGCAAACTAAGCAGGACAACAGCACTGCAAAGAGAAGGAAAACTTGAAACAAACCCTATACCAACCCGTCTGGCCAGCGTGGTATAGTAGGCCAAAACCTCCTTTCTAAGGAGAGGCCTATGTCCAGCAGTGGACTAGTATAGGCTGTTGATGATGATGATTGATGATGCCTTCCTCGTAGCCCTCGAAGAGCCGTCATTCCTGACCGTTGCCAGTCAGGGTTACGACATGGCCGGACGGTGGTCTGCGTCAGACCAGTGTCCCCCACCTCTGGACAGAGCCAGCGGCAGTGGACCCGTCCGCCCCCAGACCGCTCTCCCCTATGCCCTCTGCCAAACAGAGGGACACGCGGAAAGCAGCCCTCCGAACAGCCCTTGACGGGCCGTTCCCACCTCGGCCGGAATTGGCCGCAGGTGGCAGCGCCTCTCCCACCTAGGGAGAGAGGCGCTGCCGTCTCCGTTGCCCAGGGTGCACCACAAGGAGGTTCCGGACCACGCACCCCCAATAATTATGCCTGGCCTATGCCTCTTCGAGTCCGAGACTTTGCTGTTCTAAGTACATGTTATAGAAATTGTAAACTTATAAAAATATCAAATTTATCTTATGTTACTTTAATATTTGATCCATCTTGCGTAAAATGGTACTTGTGTCGCAAAGGTCACCAAAGTCATCTCAATTATAAAAGTTCATGTTTTTGATACAAATTTACAAAGTTATTAAAAATCTTCAGTAAAACATAAAACGTCACATTGAACGTAGCTTGAAAAAACTTTTCTTTCAAATTAAATGTCACTGCTTACCAGCGACCTTGGCATATAACAATATAGCTGGAATAAGCACATTTCATCACAAAATTTATACATAATTAGTCTCAAAGGGAGAAGCAACACGATGCGGTGCGGCTCCAGCGCGGTGCCTGAGCGTTGCCACTGCGGCGTAATACGAGTACATACAGAGTACACAGGAATACAGTATACAGTAAGACGAGTCGGGGGGACCAGGGGTGGGGGGGAGGGGGACACCGCGGCACCACAGCAGCTGGTCTGACGTCGCAGACCGCAGATGTTGTGAAATATAGGTGCTTGATTGCATCGTGTATTTTTTCCTGTAATTTTATATCAATCGTAAGTTATAAAATGAGTACTAACGAGCACGATAATATAGATATGGACAATCTCAAATCTCCCAAACAGCGGTGAACTGCGGTGCCGCACCACTTGTGCGGTACCTTATAATTCGAACTCAATACGCCGCTCCGCACCGTCGACGCATCGTGTGGCTTCGCTCTAACACAGACACGTTGGATGTTTAAGCTACCAAGGGACTTACTAATTACTGCTTTGTCTGGGTATGTTACGAGACGCGGAGGAATTCCCAACGCCCTGTTTATTTCTTTTGAAATGTCTAAGCATTTTTTTTTTCATTTAATTAAGTGAATTGTGTAAAAATACTTTGCACGTTGTCTGTTAATATCTTTTAAAATGGCAACAATTCAAAAAGAATCCTTTAACAGAAATTTCAGAACGATTATATTTACAAATGGCAGTATACAATAGAAAACCTATGTCTAAAATGAATGACTTAAGTCAATCGGCGATCCGAATCTGTATTGATGGGTTTTCACAATATGTTTTCAATCTTATACTTCAATGTCATTTATGTTACCGCTACAATGTACTCTGTGACGCTATGTTTAGGGTTTCGTTTTCAATTGATATTCATTTATTCTGCTATTTTTAGTGAATACGACAGAAATAGTCTAATTGTGTATCTTAGAAATACGTAAACTTTTTCTTATAACTATGAGTCAATGGTTAAAGCATTTATCAATTAAATTAAGGGATCCTGAAATTAACTTTGAAACATTATAGTGGATTGATTCCATTACGTGGGAGTTTATATTCCGTGCCAAGTGGTACAATGTTTAAGCACCTACGTCTCTTTAAAGATAATTTTCATTTAAAATATATTTTTTATAGTACTTTACTTTGTGTTAACGCATATTTATTTTATTACATTGATTTATAGAACACTTTTGTGGGAGTTCTTTGTTGTCTTTGATACAGCAATCTTAGAAAAGAAAATAGCTCTGCTTCCACTCAGTCCACACATTAATTATAATAACTGACCATAAACTTAATAGTTCTAATGTACATTAGCACAGTTATAGTATATTGAGACAAGAAAACCACCTTGATTGATGTTTAAACTTCAAGTCCTCTCTTGTTTTCTTCTGTATGTATACGAATTCTGTTAAGTAATTTGCAGGCAATATTTCTCAATCATCACTTATTATTAGTTTGAAACTAGATGGCGTTGTGTGTCAGATGTCCGAAAATATTTATTTATTTACAGTGAATATGAACTGAAAGACAATCATAAAAGAACGACATGACAAAAATGAGGGTGAAACAGTCATTAAACAAATAATAGCAAATGTGAAATCCTAAATATGTACCAAAAATATATCGACAAAATCGATTAAATACTCTAAAAACAAGATAACCATTCATAAAATCAATATTTTGCATTTCTTATTTTCTTAATCACTGTTTATGTATTAGCAGCTCAATTTCAGGTTTTTCAAGTTTTATAAGTCACGAAATATTTTGTAGGGTCTACTCTAATACCCATGTTACATCTATCAACAACGCCATTTATTCTTTGCCCAAATTACGGGAAGAAACCTCTATGTTGACATTATTCCTGATCATCAAAAAATTCATATTATTATGCGTTTGAGTCACCATCACTAATCAATTGCTTAGTCATGGTGATATCAGATACAGATCAAATCATATACTGGTATTTAATAAAACTATAATATGTGATTCAATCAGAAGAAAAATTTACATGTCAACAGCGTTATACGATATTATTTATTTATTTAATAAATAATAGCAATAAGTCTATACTGTACTGTTATGAAGGCTATTATTATGATATTATATATTGATCTGGCTCTATTGTTATTATTATAAGAACGTAGCAAACATGGTAAACATTACTATATGATCAAAAGAAATAAACATACATTATTATTTAAATAAAAATATAAGTTAATGTACCTAGACGTGAGATATAACATGTAGTAGTTTTCGTATTCAGTTCTACGCTTTTGTGGCGTGAAACTAGAATTATTTTACAAAACATACAAAGACTTTATTATAAAAAACACCTGTTAACTGATGAATAATAATATCTTTCGGACATCAGACACACAACGCCATCTAGTTTCAAACTAAGCAGAGCTTGTACTATGAAAGCTAGATCGTCTGATAGAATACCTACATACTTTGTTTTTGTAAATACATACATATTATACATAGAAAACACCTATTATATATATATATATATATATATATATATATATATATATATATAGAAACAAATATTTGCAGATCATACAAACGTTTGAATAATTATTTATAAATATTTTGATATCCTCGTGTGTGATGAAAACCATCATTAGTACTGTGTCTGGGTGTCATTTATCTATAACTAGCCTTTCCCGCGGCACAGCCCCCGTGTATGTCGGTTATCGTATTAAAAATCAAAATATCTAGGTTCTTAATTTCACCTGAATCGGTTCAGCGGTTATTGATTCCTTATACAAACTTCCACCCCCTTTTCATCCCCTAAAGGATGATTTCTGAGATATATAATTTAGTATTTTACAATGATTTTATTTTAGATTGAAATACATAGACAAAGATTGTTTATAAGAATGTCTAACGTAGACGTATTTATGAATTTTCATTCTGCAAAGAATCAAAACACCACTCTTCCTGTTAACACCTCCCTCCCTTTTGACGAAATCACTCCCGCAAATTACAGGCATGCGAGAGGAAAAAATAATTTTGTTGTGCAAACATTACACGTCTAAAGTATTTTAACTTTTCAACACATTGACTTAGGAATACAATTATGTTATAATTGTTAAAATATTCTAAACCGTAAAAGACGTATTAATCTCTCAATATAAAATAATAAAATCTTTTTTCTTATTGTGATAATATGTTACGGGTGAATAATTTACAGAGAAAAGGGTATTCTAAACTCCAGGGTAAATTGCTTCGATAAATTCAATCAAAGACGCTCCACTTCGCTTAATTTAATTCAAGCTTTAGAAAATAATGTACACTGTACTAATGTGTGCACGGTCTATCTATTCGGACTATCTATTTACATACATTTTATGTACGGAACCCCTTCTTCTAAAATTCTTAAAATTCTTCTAAATAGATAGTCCAATAATTTATTGTTTTTTTTTAAAGATTTTGAGAACTTCGCTTTTTTTTTTAAACTTCTAAATATTAATGTATGTATGTATGTATGTTACAGTGAATTTTTAAATGTTTAAAATAGACATTGGCAATCTCAAAAACAAATTTGAAGTGATGAAGAAGACCTCGACTCTTACTAATCTTTATAATATTTGGTCATTTATCATTGGGTTTTGATTTAACTTACGTTTGGTGACGGATTAAAACACAGAGTGTCATCACCCCTATTCATCCCGTGGGTGTGGTAAGAGGCGACTAAGGCAGCAAAATACGCAGGACAACAGCACTGCAGAGAAAAGGAAAACTTGACACAAACCCTATACCAACCCGTCTGGCCAGCGTGGTGTAGTAGGCCAAAACCTCCTTTCTAAGGAGAGGCCTATGTCCAGCAGTGGACTAGTAAAGGTTGTTGATGATGATGATGAAAGGTTAAAATTAAAAATAAGGCTCATGGGGCCATTATCTTACGATTGCCATTTGTTACAGGTTCAAGATACTTTGTTCATCCAGGCAGGCATCCATAATTATTTGACGGAATTCGAATTTAATAGCTCAATCCATTCGACAGCTTCAAGGAATCCCTACGAGGGCGCTTGCAGAGCAGCGGGAGGCAGACTGGGAAATAAACGTAGTTTTAAATAATTCATAAAAATATACTAAGTCCAGAAAGTTATTGAAAAAACTCCACGTGCATTGTCATCAGTTGAAGATGTTGAAGGGAAAAACAAGCATTTATTACAAATTTCTAGTGTCCGACCGAATGTTCGGTTTCGGTTTCGGTCGAGTTTCGGCAAAAAAACGAGTTTCGGTAATGTTTCGGTTTCGGCAGCAAACCTGCCGAAACTACGACCGAAACCGAAACTGCATTCGAGAGTTTCCGCGCTGTGCTCCTGTGTGTTCGGCGCGGTAAATG